CATCAGGACGGGCTGGCGTCACCCACCGGGCATCGTCCCCTGGTCTTTGCAGCTGCCGCCCCATGGGCCACAGAGTCCCTCCCTCAAGGCTCAGCCTTGTCCCTGCATCCAGCCTGCGCTCTGCTCCCTCTCAGGAAACGTAGCCTGTTGCCCCTCAGCCTGAGAGGCTGGAGAAGGGCAGGGAGAGTGAAGGGGGGAAGAGGCTCCTCACGGGAAGCCTCCCTGTGAGCTGGGGCAGCTCAATTCCACTGGCCAAAAAGTAAAAATGAAAAATCCTGTCTCTGGGAAGCAGGATCCAGCGGGTGCGGGTGGCCGGGCGCCAGCCCTGCCTCGGAGTCCACCAGTTCTCGGTGAAATGAGCGGACCTCGGGCTCACCTGGGATCACAGGCAGACAGCATTTCACTGCATCCCACAGGAGAGCCCCCCTGAAAGTGGTCAATGGGACAGAGACGGGTTGGCATAACCACCAATGACTGGTTTTCCAAGTGAGAGTAAACACCCACAATTACTTTCCCCTCAAATATGACAATAGCAGATAGTGGCATAGGACAGGAAAGAGATCCTCTGTAGTGAGCTGTAATGAGCTTCTTTGGAGGGCGTGGGGGCCAAAGAGAGCTCAAGGGTTCTGGCTCCCGCTGTGTGGACCATGGTCAGGTTGCTGATGTGATAGAGGTCAGGGTCTGGGGTCCACCAGGGCCCCTCTGGCCCTGTTGGGGGCCGTAGGGGACAGGAATGGCTGTAGGAGACCTAATTCAGGGCCTCCACAGGCAAGGCATAGGGCCCAGCAGGATGCAGGACTAATGAGTAACCCCAAATGTTTAAATGTTTTAAATTGTTTCCAGACTAAGGGGTTACAATTTGGGGCAAAATGTCATTCACCCCCTGCCATATTTTCACAAATTCTTAGGAACCAGAACATGCCTTTGTCAGTGTTTACACAAATCCCTGAGTCTTATCAAGGAAGAAACGAGGAAGAGCAGGATGAGGGCAGCTGGCCCTGGCCTGGCCGAGAAAAGGCGTCTCAGCAGTCAGCACACTTCTCATCTCCTCTCTCAACCTTTCTCAGGAAGAGGCCTTTCCCGGGGTCACACGCTGCAGTGGGGGGTGGGGGGCAGAGTCACCCCCAACAATGTTTGGTGTGGGGATGCTGGCCCCACAATTCAGTGCTTGGGCCTGGCTGTGTTCAGGGGCAAAACTGGCAATGCTGGGCAGGGCAAGCAGAGACCACCAGGGCTATGCCTACAACTGCTGGGGGCACGGTGCCAGGCAGCACCAGGATCAAACTCTCTTTTGTTCTGTTTCGGTTTTTGGACGCAGGGAATGCTCAGGGGTTACTCCTGGCTCTGCACTCAGGAATTACTCCTGGCCAGAGACCATATGGGATGCCGGGAATCGAACATGAGTGGGTCGTGTGCAAGGCAGATGTCTATTCACCCAGGACTGAACTCTCTTAGGAGTCGCTCACACGCGACAGAGCGCGTACACGCAATAGCACCACCACTTGGGCTATTGCCCCAGCTCTACTTTTCCTTTTGGGGAAGAAGGGGATTTTAGGGCACATCCAACGGTGCTTGGGAGGTAATTCCTGGCTCTGTTCCATGGCTTCTTGAGGAACCAGGTGGTACCGGGATCACCATACACCTCAGGTGCCTTAACCCCTGTTCCGTGTCTCAGGCCTAGCTGCCCTACTTTTTTTTTTCTCACAGTAATGGACAACTCAGAGAATTCTGAGAATTCAGAACTTAACGGGGCCAGAAATGGATCAATTTCAAATTTTCCTTCAACAGATAAGCAAGAGAGACCTTACATGCCCCGTGCACATTTGCTGTGGACAGAAAGAAATCTGTACCATGACCCAGGCTCCCTTTCCCCAGCATGGTCACTCACCCCTCCTGAATTACCGCCCAAGTGTGTTGGCCTGTACATGGCTCCTTGGCAGAGCACATCAACTCATGCGTGTAAGTTCAATTCTCACCCCCAGGGAAAACTGTGTCAGGGTGTGACAAGAGAAGCCAGTGCACAGGAAAGGAAAGCTCCTGTTTATTGTAGCACTGTCTCGTGAAGTGCACAGTGGAAACGAATTCACTGTCCTCAGCAAAGGAAGAGTCTGAAACTAGGAATAACTGGAAACACTTTTGTCTCTTGGTGAGGGAATGAGTATACAAAACTTATTCACATATTAGAATTTTCTGTGTCAGTTAAAGATCTACATATACTCCAGAAACAGGACAGTTTTTTTAAAACATTCAAGCTATGCATGCAAATATATACATTTATCACTGTATCACTGTCACTGTCATCCCGTTGTTCGACGATGTACTTGAGCGGGTGCCAGTGACGTCTCTATTCCTCCCAGTCCTGATATTTTAGCAGCCTCATCTTACTCATCTTTTCCCAACAATTGGAGGCTCTTTCAGGGTCAGGGGACTGAGAACTGTTGTTGTTACTGTTTTTGGCATATAGAATATGACACGGGGAGCTTGCCAGGCTCTGCCCGTGTGGGCAGGATACTCTCGGTAGCTTTCCTGGCTCTCCGAGAGGCATATATTTATATATTTCTTTCTATGATTTGTTGCCTACTGCCTGAACCCCATCAAATACGGTGTAGCAATTATGGAAAATGGATAAGAAGTGTCTTATAATGTGTATATCTATAATATATAGATATATATACATACATATACATATATATACATACATATATATACACATACACATAAATTTAACCACATGCAACATTCAACACTGTGACATTTGCAGGTACATACCATTCAAGGCTGGGCAACCATTTATACTAACTCCTACTGAATCTTAACCTGGGGATCAAGGTGGAGGAAGAAGGATGGCTAAAATTTTTTCTGAGTGCAATTTATTTTTACTGGGGGGTGGGCTATATACAAGGGTTACTGGAACAAATACTGACAGCTCAGAAATTCTTCAGCGTGGGTCATGGAAATTGACCTACAGCCTTTTGTTCGCAGTATTTTATACTTGTTTTTATATTGAAAGAAAAGGGAGCAATGAACAAAGCTCCTCTATCAAATTCCACTAAATCCCAGGTCCAGTTTCCTTACCCCACTGCCCCACGCACCTTCCTCGTCTTTAAAGGGTGGGTGATCTGGAGTGTGCTGCCTCCCCAGCGCCCAGTCTAAACACAGAACTTCATTGTCAGGGGCTGCACTAGGCGGGAACACTGTATCAAGCCCCATCCAACCTCCAAGTCCGGCCCCCATTCTCTTCATTCAACGTCACCACATCATAGTAATAAGATGTTTTACCCGGGTGACATCCACTCCACCCCACAAAAGTCGTTAAACAAATCCAAGGCGAGCAAACGATACCGTAAACGAATTACTCATAAAAGCATCTCAGTGAACAGAAATGAAAAACCTGCAAAACTCCAGCCGGGGACCTCTCTTCTAGTCCATGTTATGCAAACACTGTTGAAAATCGGAAGAACCAGAAAAGCTGTTTACAAGCTCTAGATGCTGGGTTCCGGCTGGAGGGGGACTGAAGCACAGGAAAGCCCCCCCCCCCCCCACCTCTTTAAAACAAGATCAGATTACGTTCATCCCAAACACACCTGAGTACAGGACCCCGGACTCTGAGAACGGGGCAACTCAAATCCACCTTCCGGGCCAGGCAATAACGTCTACTCCAAACTCCAAACCTCAAAGAGGGGAGATTCTCCGGCTTACGACAAGCTTCGTCCAAGTCCATCCTATGGACAAAAGCATTTCCTTCGCCAGCCCCTTCCAGCCCGGAGATCATATTCTCCGGGGAACTGGCAAGGTTTCGCCATCCCGGGCAGCCTGATATTGTCCTCCCCGCGGAAGGAAAGCCGAGACCCAACTAAAACCACCGGCGAGACCGTGGTCGGGGCAGGTCGCTGGTGGCGGGGGGCGGCTTCCAGCGCGCACATCTGACCCCCTTGGCGCGCGGGAGGTAAAGCTGCGCGGAGCCCGGGCTCCTTGGAGGCGCTCCAGTCTGGAGTTGAGAGCTCCAAACCAAGGCTTCCAGGAGCTCACGTCTAAGCAGTGCACGCACGGCTCCCTCTCCCGGCTCGGGGACCACTCCACCCGTCTTCCACAGTAAGGGGGTCGCCGGGTCCCCACACCGAGCGCGCGGAGTCCGGCGCTCGCAGACGGTCCCCGCAAATTGCAGAAATTAAACCTCCACCAAGAGGTTGCCTGAGCCGGCGGCGATGGAAAGGTGTCGGGGTGTGTGTGGGGGGGGGGGATGCCCACTTTTTCACTGCAACGGAGTCGGTCGGGGTAGAGGGCGGGCGCGCGCCCCGCCCCCGAAATGCTCGCAGTCCGGGGCCTGCCCCGCACTCCAGCATCCCGGGATACCCCATCCCCGATCCCCACGCCTCGGAGCGGCTGAGCCTGGCTGGGACTAGGAGCGGAGGGGCGGGGAGCACCGGGGCGGCCACCGTCTCGGCCTCGCCTGCAACCCCTGAGCCAGAGCGGGGCTCCCGGGAGTCGGAGAAGGAACAATAGCGGACCCGCGCTCGCCCGGTTCGCGCCTCCTTCGCCGGCTCCTCCAAGTTCAGCGGCCAGGCGGGGTCGGGCCCAGAAGCGGGGGCCGGGGGCGGCCCCGGAGCCGGCCAGGCAGGTGGGACGCGCTGCCAGCACGCCCCGCCGGCTCAGGTCATTCATTCCCACGGCGCGCGCTGCGCGGCCACCCCGCGGTCCCGGCCTGAGAGTGGCCGGGAGAGCGGCGGGGTGGCCCGGGGAGAGCTGTGCCCCGACTCCTCCCGGTTCCTAACTTGGCTCGGATCCCCCTCCTCGCCGGCGCGACCCCCACGCTCAAGGTGTGCCGCCGAGTTGGCGGCCGGTGGCGGGACCCCCCCGCCCCCCACCGGCGGGCGGCGCCTCCTGCCCGAGTCCGCCGCGCTCCCCGCGCGCCTCGCCGCCTGCCCGACACAAAGACGCGGGGCACGGGCCGGGCACCCCACTCCGGGACGCCTCCCCAACTCGCGGCGCCGCGCACTCACCCCATGGAGGCGGCTCCCCGGGTCCCGCTGGCTGCCGCTTCCCCAGGAAAGCGCGGCCGCCGGGCTCGCTTCCTGCTCGGCTTCCTGCGCCGCCGCCTCCCCGCCGCGGGGTCAGTGGGCGCGCGGCTCCCGGGCCGGCCGGGCGGGCGGGGCGCGGGCGGCCGCGGCTCCACCACGTGGCCCGGATCCCGCGGGAGCGGGAAGGGAGGTACTAACCATTCTCCTCCCCTTCCACCCCGCGCGGCCCCAAATTCCGCGAGTCAGGTGACCCGCGCCCGCGCTCCGGCCCCGACCTGCGGGAGGCGCTCGGGCCCCGCCGCGCCCCTGCGCGCCCGCCCGGGCCCCGCGCGTGGGGGGGCGGGAGCCTGCGCGCCCTACGGTGGGTTGGGGGAGTCCTGGCTGGCGTGGAACTGGAGTCCTCCCCCCCCCCCGTCCCCGCGATCTGTCATTTCAGCACCTGAAGTTCGGAGGCAAACCCCCGTGCTCTGGCCCCAGGGGTTAGGACGGCGGAGACAGCACCCAACCCGCCGCCCGTTTTCTGGTCCACGTCCCACGTCGTTTGGGGGTCGAGAGGGTGTTTGGGGAAGGCGCTGGCCCGATTGCCTTCCCGGGAGAATCAAATCGGCTCCGTGCCTGGCAAATGCCTGAACAGAAAGCGAGCTGGAAGGTGCTCCCGCGCTCCGGACGGGACGCACGGACTGCGGAGGCCGTTTCCCGAACACTCCTCAGGTATCCGGAGGAAAGTCGCCGCCTAAGTGTCGCCCTGCCCTGCAGTCACACCGAAGACTTCAGCAGCCATGAAGTGAGAGAGGCAAATCTCGGGGCCGCCCTCCCAGCCCTGCCTGGAATGCAAAGCAGGCCAGACCCGCTTCGCCCCCCAGAATCCCCACTTTCCCATTCCTCCACCCCCACACCACCCCCCCACCCCCCCCCCCCACACACACACACACATCAAGAGCCCCAGTTGACTAAGACCAGCATTCGAATAAGGACGCCTTACTTTGCAGGATTTCAAAGCTCTCCACCTCCTCGTTTAATTGGGGGCGGCTATTCCATTCATTAGACTCGAGCTAATTTACAGTCCTGGTTTCATTCACCAAAGGCCCTCGCTCCCTCGCTCTTCATCCTTGCTCGGGGCAGGAAACTTTGAGTCCTTTTGGAGTGGGTGGGGTAATCCATTGAAGTTAAAGAAGAAAAAAGATGATTCCAACGGAAGTAAAATTCCCTGGTACGGTTCCGTTTAGTGTGCTTTTCTGGGCTCTACCTTGAGCAGCCTACGGTGGAGATTTTTTTTTTTTATCTATGCCGGACCCCCACCCCAACCCCGGTTCCCGAGAGCTAAGACAAGCTTGTCTTCGCTTGAACAGGTGAATTGCCCAAGAGAAAGCAAATGCTGTGCTGGTCTTCCCTTCCTAAATCAAACCATTGAGAGTTCTTCGAAAAAAGTGAAGAAGAGCTCGTTTGAATTAAGAAGATGTACAATCCCCTCCCTGCCCTTCACGCCTCGCTCAAATAAAAGCATGTGCAAACAGAAGTGTGAACTGACAACTTCTTACTATTCAGCGCGGGCAATTTCTGCAGTCTAGTTTTCCAAGGCGGTGCCTATTAATGGTGTGTGGTGGGGCACTTGGAGCCGGGAACAATAGCGTCTCCCGGGCCTTTCCTGTTCTGCATTTCTGAGGGAGGGAGAGCGAATTGTGGCGGAGACGGTGGGATTTAGAACTTCATGCAAATTAGAGCAGGCTGCCTTGGAAAATGAAAAGCGGTATACTCTGTAGCTGAAGTTAAAAATATCGGACATTAAACAGTGGTGTGTGAGTCAGGGTCATCTACCGTGTATTCTTGCAGAAGTTCAGTGTTTGCTTTTTCCTCTTTGCATAGTTGTCTGGTCTTACCTCCCAGAGCCCCGCCTTCCCCCCCCCCCCCCCCATCAGCTCTGCTGCTCTGGGGGTGTCTTGGGTGCTTACTCTGCTCTTTGTCATACTGACCTGTGATACTGCAAATCCAATCCTAGGGGGAGGAAGTGGGAGGAGGTCTCATTGTTCCACTGATCTGCCCAGATCCTTTGCCAGCACTCCCCTCCCTGGAACTCCAGTAAATTTGTACACTAAGCCCCCACCCCTTACAGACCACAGCTGAACTTCTGTGCCCTGCCACCCTCTGGCCCCTGCACCCCTGTAAACTAGTGGACAGTGATGGAATTTTTGTTTGCCTCTGGTTGTGCCTTTTATTGAACCTGGGTCTGCCCCCACCAGGCAAAGCACATGCTCAACCCTTGGAGTCCTGTCTCCAACCCAGAATGTGCTGGATGGAACAGTGTCTTCTCCTTGGGATTTTGGCTCAGGCCTTTTAGAAAGGCCGACTGGTTTCAATATCCTGTGAGCACCATTCTTGGATGGGGACCAGACCCAGGGAAAGGCTTTGAGAGAACGCAGCGAAATTAAAACAACCATCTCCCTTCAGAAAGGGGGTGAAATCGTTTCGGGAAGAAATGTTGCATTTCCCTAAGAGAATCACTCCTAGTTCCAGGTAACTCTGTCTTGGAGCATAGTACTAATTAGACAAAAAAAATTTGAGTTTCCTTGCCCCACTCTTCATTAACTCTCCATTTGAATTTCACCTACAGGAGTCAGAGAAAGTACAGCAGGTAAGGCGTGCCTCTGAGCACATTTCAACCCCCAAAACCGCACTTGATACCCCTGAGCACAGAGCCAAGAATAGCTTCTAAAAGGCCACAATTTCCCTAATGGCACCAAATATTTGAATGTGCTTCCACTATTCTAGTCAGTAACTAAGAACACTGAAGTATATCGCCCCTGAGAACTTTCTCCGCCTGTTCACTAACTGTGAAGCATGTTCACAAGCAATATTGTCCAGACATCTTAAGACAAAGCATCTTTCTCTAATTGTAGTAGCCGAGAAGTCTTGTCATGCTAACAAGACTGTCACCTCCCAAGACTGTCACCTCAGAATGGTTCCAGAATTCAACAGGATCCATCCATAAAGGAAATGTATTGATTGGCAGGGCTCAATGTTCATTTTTGAAATTAAATATCATTTTTCTTTCTTCTTGATCTATCTACCCTCCATATCAGTTCTCCCCAGACTTGGAAGACCCAGGGAACCCAAACAAAATCTTGTCAGGGTAACAAGAAACGGTCCCTGAAGGAGGAAATCAAGATAGGTAACGCACCACAGCCAAAATGTTTTTAGAGTTTGATCAGGATTTGACTGAACTTGTGGTCCTGGTTAGAGGCAGCCTGATTTAGAGGAATGTGGTGATATTGGGCCCAATCCAGGGAACAGAACAAAAACACAATCAGATGGTTGGAGAGAGATAATCTTTGGGGAGGGTAGGAGGTGAGAGATCCAAATCCAAACATTCATAGAAAAGCAGCTTTTATTTTTCCTTCTGTATTTTCTGGGAAGTGTTTTCAAATAGGAGGAAACTGTAACATGGGAGCAATTAAGAAAATAGCTTTGGCCTTGTTTTTCAAAATTTAGTAAGAAAGTAGCCTACAAACTCACTCTTAACCATGGTTCTGCACATGCCAGGAAGCGGTGGGAGCAGGCAGCCCAGGGTGGGTACCTCCAGCTTCCCCCGCAGATGCAGGTCTGGGCACCTGCTTAGCAAATGAGACCAGGATGTTTGAGAAGACCCTGTCCAAGCCCTTTCTAGACCCCCACATGTATGAAAGTGACTAAGAAACTAGGATCTCAGCTGTGATATGACAGGCTTGAGAAGGCGTTGCCTCTGTGTAGCGATTCTCCTGGGTTAGGAATGGGAAGTGTTTAGTGTGTAGCCACCACCACACATAGGCATGGAAATCACACTTGTTCATTGGTGCGACCTCTGTGGAAAATGGGCTGGGGATGCCTTAAACAATACACAAAAAAACAAACTCCATAAGATCCAGTGTTACTACTCCTAGACATTTGTACAAAGGACGTGAAAGCACTAGTTCTAAAATCCTCTGTGTTCAGAGTAAAGTTATTCACCATAGTCAAAACATGACTACTGACTACTGTTCGTTCTCCCATTGTTCATCGATTTTTGCTCGAGCGGGCCCAGTAACGTCTCCACTGTGAGACTTATTACTGTGTTTGGCATATCGAATACGTCATAGAGAGCTTGCCAGGCTTTGCCGTGCAGGCGAGATACTCTCTGTAGCTTGCCAGGCTCTCCTAGAGGGGTGGAGGAATCGAACCTGGGTTGGCCAGGTCGGCCGCTTGCAAGGCAAATGCCCTAGCCACTGTGCTATCACTCCAACCCACCTAAATGTCCATCAGCAGGATACTGGTCATAGAGTACAGAGCTATGGTCTATATACTCCATACAACGCTCTTATGTACCATTAAAAGAGAATGAAGTCATGCCATGTGGGTCAAATGAATGAATTATGAGGTGACTGTGCTAAGTAAAATAAATAAGAAAATGAACATTTATAACTGGATAGTCTCCCTCATGTGGCATATAACTAACTAAAGCAAATAGATTGGCAAGAAATAACAGAATTAATTCCTAGTCTTGGTGAAAATAAATACTGGTGGCTAAAGTATATAGGGGGAATGAGCAGAGATCTTTTTGGTGGAGGAGTGACAACATATAGCAAAGGGTAAAGCTGAACCCCTAAAATTCATTAATACTGTCAACCAATAATAAGACAATGAAAACATTATTAAAATAAAAAGAATCTTAAAGTGACATTAGTGCCAATGGAGATGTGCTATAAATGTAAAATACACACCAGATTTCAAAGACCTAAAGTAAAGTAAAGTAAAGGCCCTCCCACTGATCATCGATTTGCTCGAGCGGGCCCAGTAACGTCTCCATTGGAGACTTTGTTGTTACTGTGTCTGGCATATCGAATACGTCACGGGGAGCTTGCCAGGCTCTGCCGTGCGGGCGAGATACTCTCGGTAGCTTGCCGGGCTCTCCGAGAGGGGCGGAGGAATCGAACTCGGGTCGGCCATGTTGGCTTGCGTGCAAGGCAAACGCCCTACCGCTGTGCTATCACTCCAGCGTCTCACTAGTAACTTAATATGCATTACATATTTAAATGATAATATATTGGACATATTACACTAAATATGTGATCCACCCTAATTTCAGTTACTTCTTTTTTATATTTTAAAATGTGGCTGACTTGAGTCGGAGAT